AAATGACTTTTATTTTCCCCCATACAAAATCGACCCAGCCTAATGCATACTTTTGTTTTCAGTTACTGTTTGCTGGTTTAATTTAAAGAAATCTATAAATTCATCAATTACCATTACTCAATTTCATGAAGTATTCTTTTTCCATGCCAGGTCATACTCTTTACAAATGCATAATTTATTATTTATCTATGTATGTGTGTATGTCAATATGTGTGTGCATTTGCGCCCAACTCATAAAAAGTCATAAGCTCATCCCTTATTACAAATACGACTCATTGTTTCTGTTTTAATTAAAGCCTATTGCGTTAATGTTGTTTAATTAAATACAAATACCTATATTGCATAAATATCAGAGCGCATTTACATGCGTCCATTTATGCATAAGTACATGTTCATTTAATTAACTATAATTTGTTATTGATGGCGTTTGCGCTAATTAACTAGTTAGGTCAATAAACATTTATGTACACTGTATTGCATTACTTTAGCTTGGCAGGGCCGGTTTTAGGGCGGACGAGCGGAGTGGCCGCCCTGGGCGTCAAATTCGGGGTGGGGGCGCAAAATTTTGAGGTGGCGTTTAATTTTTTTATTGCATACATTTTTCAAATGTCAAAATCTAGAATTACCTTCGGACTTACGCGGTTTATATATATATATATCTAGTCAGTAAACTAAATTCAGAAAATTTATACTCGCAGCAAGACCATATATTAGACATGCCCACGCCATAAAACATTGGAGTTGGCCAACAAATACAAACAAAATAATCAAGCCCGCGAGAGGGTTGGTTATGAAATTGCAGTTTGTGTTTGTAGTAGGTTTAGGTTTTTTTTTAATTTTCGCTATCCCACTTCGAAGTAGACCAAATCATCAGCGAATTTCAAACAACTTGCTGAAAATTTTGGAACTGACTCGTCGTTTGACAACTCATCTCGCAAAAGAAGAATGTGTTCATTTACGAAATTTAAGACAAGTCGATTTAGCAAGTGCCCCCAGATTGTTGTTGTAGACGTTTTTTTTTTTTAAATTTATGGCTTACTATTATAAAATCACATAGCGCTGTTTGCAAGTGGACTACTCATTTTGTTGACTTTGCTAGTACTGATGTGCTGAGTCGATACCTTTATGTATTGATCGATACTCGGCACCGATTTAAAAAGTATCCAATACCTTCGGTACTCGGTACCGAAATGTTTAGGCTTCCAATTAAAACGAATATAGACTAAAAATAAAAACGGTTCAGGGGAGTCTAGCCTATCAAAAGCCGAGTTTAGCGTTAATAAAGCTTTTAATGCTGATTTAAATGAAAAATATATATACATTTTCCGTCGCCACAATACAAGAAACTCTTCCTACGAAGGTGGCGAAGTGATACAGTGGTATTTTATGGCACGACGGCAATATTTTCGATATGTGGTTTCCTCATTGTTCTGTACAAATTGTTCAACCGTTGGGAAAGCATCGTCTTATTCGTGCTAATTGTGAAGTATATTCATAGACAAAATAAAGTCGATGCACCTTGTTCCATTTACGCCCCGGGCGTCGTTGCTTCTAAGGCCGGCCCTGTAGCTTGGAATTACATATATGCAATACATATATATGGGAAATGAACGGAATTAATATGAACTTCCGAAGATTTTCTAGATGCGAATCAACTTAAAAAATTAACACTCTGAAGCCTTCTGTCTAATAAGAATAATTAAGAATTTACCCATAGAATTTCTATAAACATAATATCGCACACCTAGGTCTAAAGTGCGATCAACTCAAAGAAATGTTTGCGCAATTTTTTTTTGCATAAATCAATTCATGGGGCTTACATCCACTTAATGGAAGTATTATTTTCTTGATGATTATATACATTAACTAAAAAACTACTGTTATACCTGTTTTTGTATTAATTGCGTTGAATCTGTGAGATCCACAAGCAATTAAATCTCCCTCTCTTGTGTTAAATAGCTCACTTTAGATCTAGGTGTGCGATATGTAAATGTTTTGAACCATTAAATGGTAGGTAATTTGAACACTAGTCTATAACTTTTATTTACATACGTTATATAAAAGGGCATACTATACCGTGTTGAATGACATTAAAAGTGCATGCCAGTTTTTTGGTTGGTGATAATATCCCTCTGAAAAAAAAAACATTACATATTCACTCACAATTTTCAATAAATAAAGTAATATAAAATGTTTCCCACCACTCCCCCTGTTAGGTTTTTATCGCTGATGATCCCTTAAAGCTTCGGGATCAATACTAAACGGTGTTTGGCTGCAAATATCGGCAAACTTCGAAGTAGCAAATTATGAAAAGTCTAAAATTTTCGTTGGTGTTGTTGGTTGTAAAATTGCTATCCTGCCGCTTTTCTTTAATAGTGGCCAATTCATTTTGAATACTGCGAAGCAACAAAAAATGTAAAATTTCTTTTCGGGACCAAGGAGTTGTGGAATCGCCTCCATCTTGAAAACAAGTAATGGTCAAAGTATTTCTAACTCTGTTCCCTTGAGTTATTTTTGGGCTTCAATCATACTATTCCCGAGCCTTAGTTAAATTCAAAAAGGATTTTGCTCGACCACATCCCATTTTTGAGTACAACTTTCCACTTTTAGTTCTATTATTTTTCATGAAACATTATTTATTTCCTGGAGGTCTTGTTTCCTTGGTTTGGAAAAAGTTTTCAGCTTTACAAATGACGTTTTACATTTCCTCCGACTGACAATTTTCTAAAATATTTGACCTCATTCAAAAAACGTCAGATACTCGTTAATTTACGGTATGTACTACCTCCTTGGGGTAGTTGAGTTGTTTCTTGTCTTATGAAAATAGGAAGATAGAGGGTAAAACAGAAGAAAAAAATAAATGATGGCAATTTGTTGTTGTTTTTTTCTTAAAACAGAATGAAAGCGGTCATTTTAGTATGCGCGTAATTGAATTGAATATTTACCAATATACAGTACTTTCGTTGACGTTTATAGTAAGATCAATTACGTTTCCATTTGATTTTAATATTTTTTTCCCGCAGTGTATGGGCTATAAAACTGCATACCTAAAATTGCTCTTAAAATTCAGGGTAACAAGTTCGATATTTAGACGAAATTTTTTGGAATTTTTCTAAATTTATTTCAAGCTATATACTGCCGTTAATACTATCTCAAATAACATGTCATTAGTTAAACAAACGGTTCCTTAGTGAAAATTTTAATTTTTATGCAAATAACTAAAAAAAATAGGACAAAGCAATAGTTTTTATTAAAATAATCAACAAATGTTAATGGTAGATATTTTCCAGATTTGGTAGAATTTTTTCAAGTGGATGGGAAGTATTTTTTCATCAGTGGCAACCCTGTATGTAATCTTATTTCTCGCCAGGAGCTTATTTTTAATACATATATACATACATACACATTTAGAGTGTACTCCCATATAAAATTTTTCACGGTGTACGTTTGTCACATAAGCTGCGGCCAATAATTGTAAATGCCCTTAGACTCCGCTGGAATTCGGCATATAGTCTTCCGTTACGTGGGGCAGACGAATTAAAAAATGTGGTAGATATAGAAATCCTGGTTCGCCTACTCATCTTGAGGGCGGATATCTTAAACATAACCCTATTTTTTCAACAAATGCATAATGTATGTACACAAACTTTTTTGTTAGGATAACCTCAGGAAAAACTGTAATCAGAGAGTTAATAAAAGAGCTGCGTTATGTAACTTACAACTTACTATGAACAAAGCAGTGAAAATGGGATTTCTCCAAGACGATCGATACATTACTGCATTCATTAGAACCAATTGTCGACAAAGTTTTGCCACTCAGAACCACTAATACCAGCTTTTAGAAAGCCTCGGCCCGGCCGGCTTAGTGCGAAGAAAAACGCTTGATTTTATGTGATAGTTTGACAATGCACATATTTATGTATAATTACTATTCAAAATACATAATTTTCCCCCATTTTCTTTACAGTTACATTGTCGGCTCAGAGACGGCACGTTTGGCCAATGACTGGCGTTGGGCGCTGCGTGTCACACCCATGCTGGGCATTTTCGCTGTCGCATTGATACTGTTAACCAAAGAGCCCGTACGCGGTGAGAGTGAAGGCTCTCACAACTTGGAACCTACCAGCTACACTGAAGATATAAAAGATTTGGTGAAGAATCATTCGTTTATGCTTTCGACAGCCGGTTTCACATGCGTTGCCTTCGTAACAGGTGCTTTGGCTTGGTGGGGACCTAAATTTATTTATCTTGGCATTAAAATGCAGCCAGGCAATGAGGAGCTGTCACTGAATGAGTAAGTAAATGGAATTTAGAAACAAAATTTTGCATTTCCGAAAAAAAAAATCATAAAATTTAGCACATATGAATAGATTATAGAAATTTTAAAATTGACACATCCATACATTCGTATGTAAATCCTATTTACAAAACAAAAAAAAAAAAAAAACTAGCGTATCGTACAAGTTTGGCATCATTGCAATGATAGCTGGTCTAATTGGTGTACCCTTGGGTTCGCTGCTCGCTCAACGTCTACGACCACATCACGAGGGCTGTGATCCATACATATGCGCCTTCGGTCTACTCATATCAGCGCCCATGGTCTACTTGTCGCTGGTGACACCGCAAACCACAACCTCGTTTTGCTTCTTGTTCGTCTTTTTGGCACAGGTGACGCTGAATTTATGCTGGTCGATTGTTGCTGATATTTTGCTGGTAAGAAAACTGATTCGAAAAAAGAAACACAAATCAATGAATAGAAAAAAAGGCGAAGTGCAATCATCAGCAACTAAAAGCAGCAATTAAAAAAAAAATACCATAGCATAAAAAAAGGTAGTAAAAAAACCAAAATTTCAAATTTCAACGCCACTGTCTGCTCCGCTGCGCGCGCTACAAACCACCAAAAGTGTATAAGCAGCTTGTACGATCGCTAATTGCCACGACTGTTAGCTATGTCAACGGCATTGTATAGTTTTATTTTTTAACGCGTTTTTTAGTTTACTGGAATTTTCTTTTTTAAATGCTTTCTACTGGATACTAAATTTGTTTTCTTTGTTTTTTTTTTTCTCCCCCCTATAACTCTGAACAAAATTTATCAACTTTAAATTCGCGCAAAAATCAAAATGAATATGCATTTTTCGAAAAACAATAAAACTCAACAGCGTTTCTTTGCGATTTGGAATAATTACAATGGTAGCTGGTCTAATTGGTGTACCGCTCGGTCCAGTTTTGTCGCGTGCGGTTGCCAGTTACAAAAATAACGCTGATCCCTTGGTGTGTGCCTATGGAATATTTTTTAGCTCGCTTTTCCTTGCTGCCGCAATGCTGCTTGTCACAAAATACGTCATAGCTTCGTATGTTTTAATGTTCGTCGGTCAATTGTGTTTGAATCTAAATTGGGCACTTGTTGCTGACATTCTACTGGTAAGAGAAACGTTAAAAAATTTTCCTAAAAGTACACGTGTTTTTGTTTGTGGTGGTTGTTGTTTTTAACTGAAAACATACTTACATTAATACGAACAAAATAAAAGTAGCAAATGTAAACGTTTTTACATTCATAATACATAAAATATTTATTTACAGCTTAGCTTATTTTTTATACGCTTTGAGTTTGTAAATTAGGGTGCATCACTCTTCACCAAAAAAGTTTTCCACGGGAATTATAAAATTTAGTATATTTTAAGACATCCGCCAAAATATTTCGGAAAAATATTATTATTATTAAATATTATTTGAAAATACCTCCAAAAATCGAGTTTTTTCATAAATAAAATTAGTTTTTAAAACTAACTTTTCTAAAAACCGCCTAAGATGAGCATATGTTTAAATATTTTATCAACGAACTTGAAATAATGAGATTTACGGAGGTACTTTACTTTACAATGAGTCCCGCTCAAGTAAATCTTTTCATGAAATACCTAAATAAACCACTTTCCCATGCAAAAGTAAGTAAGTAGATTTACATGATTATGAGGCATTTGCGCGCTTAGATGAATACCCCTAAAAATTTTATAATTCCACTTGAAAACCTGCATCTTTTTTTGGTGATGCACCCTAATGAACATACTTCATGTTTAATAATAGCATTTATTTATTATTCGCTATTCCAGATTAAATTATGTACATAACTAATAATAAATACAAATTTAAGGCAATATCGTTGTATATCCATACGTACATATATATACATATCGACCCCTTTGCGCAAAATTATCGTATGTTGCAAAAACCAAATTTTACAGGAAAGTTTTTTTTTGTATTTTTCTCTGCTTTGGCTAGCACCATCAATACCAAAGTTTAGATTTGCTGAGAAATACATATAACTAAACGCAAGATTTTTCTGTAGAAAGGTCTCTACATTCTAATTTCTTAGCCCTATTGATAATTTCGCCCACAAGAAAAAAATCATTGTCACATACCATAAAATTTGCAGTCAATTTTTGGGGTAGCTATTGGGATTCAAGTCGTAATATTTGAACAGGTGATGCGGTATGGGTTGTAAAACAAAGTTGCATCAAAAAATTTTTAAAAAAATGTAATAGACGATAATTTTGCGCAAAGGGGTCGATATATGTAAATACTATTGTGATTGACTCAGTTGTTCCAAACAGATTTCCACTGTTTTTTTTTTTTAATATTTTTAGACGCTTTTTGTTTTTTTTTGATATCTTGATTTTTCGAATGCCAAGTAACCGGGTTTTCACTTGCTACACTGTCACTGTCTACAAGAATCTCAAAATTCTAAATATTTATTTTATTGGAAATGGTACTACCAAATGTTTATTAGTTTTATGTCTGAGTACCGGAAAAATTTCCAGAAAATTTCTTAAAAAGGAAAACCGAACGAAAATCGTTCACTGTTTTTTTTTTTGTTGTAGCAGCTTATTAAACTCTGTCTAAATCAGCGAATCGGCTACATGTTGTCTTCATTCTTATCTAACAGCAGGCTTAGGAAAAGGTCAGATCCGATGTGAGTGGGCATGTGAAGAGTTGGTTAGTGTCGTCGAGGCATCTTATCCAAATTCGAGTAATCAGTTCAACCTGCTACAATATACCGAACGGAGTTGTGTCGAATGTATCGCGAGCCCCACGAAGCAACTCGAGCACTTCGTCTGCGATCGGGGGCGTTGATATCCGGTGATGGAATTCAAGGGCTGGGAGTTGACGAATATTTTGATTGATTCTCGATGAATGATCTGTCTATAACAGATAGTTTATATTTGTGTTGTCGGTCTGGGTCAGCGGATGGTATACTCTAATTCCCAAGACTGCCAGTTCTACCCGCACGAGTTATTCCCGACAAATGATTGTTTGGCGACATAATTTTTAGCAGTCATATTTTAATTTGGTCATGATTTTTGACTAACAGTAAGTGTGACTATAGAGAAATATGTAAAATAAAACCGGTTTATCCGTTTTATTCTTAACTAAACTTTAATGTTGAACCGCTTTTTTTTTAAAATTGCCATGTTTTCGAATGACTCGAAGCCCCTTACTCCCTTGCATTATTTCCGTTGGGCATTTAAAGTTCTTTTAGTTTAATATTTTATTCAAAGCTTAAAGTTTTTGTTATATTTTCCTTTTTTGAACTTCAAAAAACTTTGCCCATCCATTATGCTTATTTTAACCGAATTCATTTATCAGTATTAAATTCCTTGATATATGTACATACACATAAATATACAAAGTTTGCTTTTCATATTACCACGCCAACAACGGATGAACACCCAAATTTTGACACCCTTGCCTAACAGCCAAGGAAACTTTCTCTTCGCCCTCATAGCACTCTGTTGGTTGTAATAAAGTTTAGCAATTTATTTATGTCGCAAAATGCACCACTTATCTGCTTGTAAGCAAAGGACAACAAAAATGTTACATATTTACTAAAAGTTCGATGTAATTACGAACAGTATGCAAGTAGATACATATCTCAGTTGATACATATGTATGTACATACATACATACAATGCTCCATTTTGTAAGTTAATTTCGACGTGCTGTTTTTCGCCACACTTAGCATTTGGTTCTACAATAAAAAATATAATAAATGCAATAAAGTCGAGAAATTACTCCCCATGGAGTTGACATATTGCATTTTCATGAATTCTAAGTGTAATTCATTCACGTTTATTCAAACATTCATGCAAGTCACGTCCTACGTTCATACATAGCATATATATTGCATATATTTTGGCGCCAACTCGCATTAAACTCGAAACTCGTTTATAATATTTCATATTGTGGGTGGTTGCACTCTCCCCTCTCACACGAATATGTTACTTTGAGTTTTCTTGAATTTGCCACCCCAAATAGAGTTTTTATGCGTATACCATTATAGTGGACCCTTAATTAAATGCAATTTGTTTTTTTTTTTTTGTTCTAAAACTGTTTAGCATAGAAATAACAAAGTATAAAAACACTGCAATGCTGAGGCAGCAACCGCATCTTATTCACTGTGTATTAGTAAAGTACGGAATCTTAATTCGAGGGGGGAATCTTCTCCCGCTTTAGCACCCAAAAAGAAATTCCCTTGCAATCTATTTCATCAAATCTAATTAATCTGATGAGTTCATGTTGATCCTAAATTAGGTGTAATTTCATATCACATGTTGGGTTATTTTATAATAATAATAGGTTGTGCATTTGATAACATAAATAATTTAAAAAATAATGTTTTAACTCAAAAGTTTATCGGTAAGCGATTTTTTTAATCGATTTTGATTTTTAACGGACTTCAAAAAAAGGAGGTTAATCCTTTTTTTTTTTTAAGGAAAGGTCGTACTTCAGAGGTGGTCCCATACTAATTATGTTTAGACCCAATCATTGGATCATGAAGAAAACTTGTATATGAGAATCGTCAGTTTTGTTTTTTGCTTCAAAATACTTCTTAAGCATTTACAACCTTTAATTTGCACTTCTATGTACACATTAAATCCCAAATTATTCTGACCTTACAGATGATTTTGTAACCGAAAAATTGTATTAAAAAAACTGAAACAGTAACTTTTGTGAGCGGTTGCAAAATTTTTTGTTACTAGCACAGAATAGACCAGAGTTAAGTATGTAAACCGCTAACCTACAACGCATCAGCGGACTACTTTTTCATCCAAGGTTATATCCTTGTTCAGATATATGTAACTTGTACATACTGCCGGTTAGAAGGCGAGGTTTTTTTCATGACCATATTACGATGATTTCATATAGAAAATCCTTTCGATCTGATTGAATTGATACAATCGGAATTAGCACAGAACCGTCCTTTTAATAAGAATGTGCCGTTTCCCATTAAGGGGCATCTTCCATACATTGACTTGCAAAACTTTGAATACAAACATTACTGCATGCTCAAAGGAAAACGAATCTCCATAAATATTTGCCAAATGCGTTGCTAATAAAATTTTTTTTGGGCTCATTCGTGCTGATCGAAATTTGTTAGCCTCTCTTTCTACATATGTAGTTCGTTCTGTTTCCTTCATCAAAATGTAACTTTTCACAAAGAGGGAACTCCGTAATTTTTACACCGATTTCTTAATTTTCTCAACTAAAAGTTTTTCTGCTAAATTAAAACTTGTAAATCCTTGAAAAAAAGTATATCAGAAGGCGCACAACTGTGCCAGTAAGAATACAGTGAGTGCCTATAAAAACATCCCAGCTCAGGTTTCGCAATGTGTGCAATGTTTTTCATGTTGTAATTTTATTTCATTTGCATTTGCCTCTACCACGAATACTGTGATTTGGGCCCAGGTTTCCAAACATAATTCAAACGTGGAGCACTCAACAAATTTTCAACAAATTTTTAAAACTTCAAATTAGATTTTTCAGAAATATCTGGAGAACGCAATTTTTAGCCCACTTAATTTAGGAATAGTAAGGTGCAAGTATGAAGTGGTGAAGTTTTAGTGTAAATTTTTGATAATTCGTGTGCATTTTTGCCTTCTAGTTTAACATTTTTAGATAACTCTGAATAATAAAACTCGATGCATCGAAAAAATTCATCGATCTATCGGCGGCAAGAGATGTATCGGTCTTAATCGACATACATATGTACATATTTTCCAAAAATGGCGTGTCAAACGCTGTGTCTGCTTCCCACATGTTTAATACATATCGCTCATTTACTTCATTAGTGGCATAACTCAAAAA